CCACCACTGTGAAGAGGGAGAAATTCATTCAAGTGGGAAGTGTTAAATCCTCAGCGTCAGCTATCACAAATAATGAGGCTTCTGAGTTAAAACAGGAACGTAACGGTGCCACTCAACTCCTTAAAATCACCCGGAGAGGTACCCTTACACAGGGCCTCCTGGTCGCATGAGGGCATTGGCGATATAAAGCGTGCCCAGCATTGTGGCAGTGACAAAACGGTGTGGTAGGCACACAGCTGGCAGGGCGGTATTTCATTGTTAGCACCTGTAGCCTGCTTTTCTATTTAAAGGGAATAAAAAGGCAGGTCTGTCATCAAATGGCGAGTGAGCTCTATGGGGGAAGGGTGCCTCTCTTGCCTCCGGTTGATTTGAAACTTAAAATGCAGGAGGTGCTTTTGTTTCTCCTACAGCAAGGTTTGCCCCCTCTGCGTGCTCCCTGCCTGGTGCTGGAGGTGCCAAGGAGCCACCTCGGCCAGTGCTGCCGCCCCGATGGGCCACTGCATCTCCCACGGCTTCGCCAGCCTTTCTCCTCACGTGGCTAGGCTTTGTTGGTTTATATTAGTATTTACCTGAGATATTCAAGGGGAATAAACCTCTTGTCAGCAATAGCAAACACACCAAAAAAAAAAAAAAGTGTAGATGGCAATGCCCTACAATAACCATCCAGGGAAATGCAAAAGCTTGTAGAATTGCTCCATTATGCTCCTTTTGGCCATTAAAGTCATTTTACTTGAGCTGTTTGTCCAAAAAGGTCTTCCCACGTTAGACAAACCCTTGAAAAGGCTACTTATTTACTGCTAAAACATCCAGCCTTCTGCCCAATTTCATCATCTTACACCAAAGATGACCTGAATCTTTTGTGCACATTGTCAAGTGGCAGATGGTGCTTTTTGATTAAAATATGCTCCTAACAAGGGCAGAAATACTTGTTATTGAAGCCAAATGATTTATTTACCTTTTCAGGATGATAGGAAAAAAAAGTGTTGCGTTTTACCTGACATGCTGTGAACCAAGAAGTCCACTTTCCAGCTACTCTGTCAGTTAATTCAGTCATTAACCATTCAAGAAAATCAAAATAAGTTTTCAAAACATGCGTGTAGTGCATCTGCTGCGAACTACTATTGGGCATAAAATGCTTACTTTTCACTCAATATGTGTCTTTCAAAAGATCTGTCAGAAGAGAACTAAGTTATGAAACTATGGGGTCACATTTTCAACTGCCCCAAACTAGTCTAGATTCCTTGAAATTGGAGCAGCTCTTTGACTTTACTATGGTTGCTCTTAAAAACATGGTCTTAAACTGCAAGGCTTCGTTGGAAAAACACCCGTGCAACAAACTTGACGGTTTCATCGCCGCTTGAGGGAGCTCAAAGGTAATGCGTGGTCATGCAGATCACCTTGAGTTTCATAGGGGGCGTAATTAAAGGGAGATAGTTTATATACACAGATAAAAGGAGTAACTTTGGAAAGTAAAGTTATATCTAGCAAAAGCTTGTGTACAGAAGATAAATATAGTCTTTTTCTTTGCTAAATAGCCCAATTGTTCCAGGAGATCATTGTCATACCACCCAGCTCTAGGTCTCTCTGACGCACAGAAAATGTTTTTTGTTCATGCGCACACTCTAGTTTCCCTGCAGGACACAAATATGGCTGTTGCAAAAGGCCAGAGTCCCCTAACTACCCTCCCACCACCATTCTCAGAAAGACAATGCTGAGAAACCTCAGGACACAGCTGGATCCATCGTTGGTAAGGATGCCCTGATCAGCCCGCTCTGATCAGAAATACAGGCCAACAGAACTGACGTCTCCGTGGCTTGCAGCTACTTCCCCAAGACCCCCCTGCTCCATTTCAAGCATAATCTTATCCACAGAAATTCCCGAGACATTATGTTGAGGGCAGATAACCCTCACCAACAAGAAATCAGCTGTGCAGCCTACTCCATAAAATGAGAGGTGCCAATTCCAGGCTGCTGTACCCAGAAGAGTTCAACTTCACAAATCTGTAGAATGCCAGAATATTATCATCAAGAAGATCTCCCTGTAACTATTTTTAAAGATTGGTTCAGAAGGCACAGGTAAACATAGAGAAGTGGCAGTTAAAGCTGAAAGAGGGGTAACCGGCACATGCTCAGAGGTGCCATTTTAATGCTTTATCATTGTCTTAAGCACTAATACTTTGATTTTAGTCTTTATAATATTCTCATATCAATTTCAAATCAATCTCACGTGTAACTCACTTGGGCGGTGACACGATGCCGGCACTTTGACAAAAGGATCCCACAGAAACTCTCATGTAACTTTTGATCAGCTTTATCAGTGAGGATATTTAAAAGAAGATCTCAAAAAGGTTTTCTAGCTCCATAATCAAAGAAATAGGCAGAACCACATAGCAAGTGAACATATTAATCTGCAATTTGTGATGGAGGATGATAATATTATGGCCAGATTCAGCTGTGTATGCCAATGGGCAGAATGGAAGCGAACAGCTGTCAGAGGCTCTGGGGATACCACCAAAGTTCTTGTTTGGTTGACTTCATTAATCAATTAACTGTCACAAAAAAATCCCGCAATCTTTCAAGCTGACTCGTGGATCAGGATTTCATCCTGGCTACTTTTGTTGCAGTGTTTTGTACACTGAAGACCAAAAAAAATGCACTCTGCAAAAGTATTTTTGAGAGCTTCTGACAACCGTGGCAGGTTGTCTCTGCCAAGTACGATGACAAAGGTTTCCTGGAAAAATAAATACTCAGCAAAGAATATCATCTTGACTCTCTGCAAACTTAGCAGTAGGATTTTAAGCACTGTTATCCCATCTTCTTGTCCCGTTTTAGTTTATGTAAATCTCCGTAGCATTACAGTCCAAGTCTTCCTTACTGTAAGAAATTCAACGTGCCACTGTTGCATCAATATGTAACATAAAAAGACAGCGTCTCTCTCCTTTCCTGCAAAAACAGTGAGACAGGGCTAGTTCAGCACATACCACCTCCAAGGTTGAATACTGTTTAACAATCTCTCTCTAATTTTATTATTTATACTAAAGAGTCCTGGATTTGTCTTTTTTATTTAACTCATTACCCAAATGAGCTGTGTTACGCTGAAAACTTCAAGTTCATGATTTTGTAACGTGTCTTACTTTTTCTTGTCCTTTCCTCTGCCTGCTCTTGGGAGACCAGAGATCTGTCTGAATTCATTTATTCTATGATTTTCTAAGAAATAAATGCGGGAGTGTTAAAATCCCACTTTGCCAATGAAGCCTTTTCATTCATCCCTTATAATATCAATTACATTATTGCCACTCTCCCACTCTATCACTATCATACAAAAATATGTGAAGTTGGAAGGATTCAGCTATTTAAGCTATTTAAAAGCTATCTAAATAATTTGAAAATTATTACTTTATGTTACTTCTAAGCAGGTTCCACTAAGCAGAACTAATTCAATACAAAAATAGTAAATGTAATGGTGGGAGGGTTCTTTACGTGGAGCACAGCCGTGGCAGGTGCCGGTACAACAAAGGGTTTCCATACTTTCAGTCATCATTGAGGGAGTTTTCATAAATCTGAACACATGCAATCTTATTATATTCATTTTCAAAGATGTCAGTGGGTTTTTCATGTTATTTTCTTGGCTGTGTGCTTAAATATTTCATATTACACAAGACTGGATTTGTACTTTATCTTGTTTGGTATAACATAGGACCCTTTATAGTAAAATAAGAAATTACGTTCATGTATCCAGAATATTTAACAGGAGAAAAAGAATATTTTTTCCATTTGCTATCTGAAAATATTTGCCATGCCACCCCTTTCTTCCCAGTCACTTCCGTCTTCACCTTGGATATGACCTTGCTGTGCCTGAAGCTTAATGGCTGTAATGTGTAGTGTGAGTTAAGTCTAAGATGATTCTCAAATGCATTGCAGGTGAGTGTTTATGTCACAAATAAATACAGTAGATTGCTCTTAAGCTCATACTTTAGAATGTTTATTACAGATGCAATTCCTGTCTTAACATAAATCAAAGTGCTTAAAGTGCCATATGATACCAAATGCTTACTTTAACAGCATAAAATTGAGCAAAAACTGTATACAGTACTTTATAGGTGCTATAAAATTCTCGTGCTTGTGGCCTCACCTTTTTGCATTGCTCAGATCAATCAAGTCCACTGAAAACTCTGGATAGTAAATACTCACGTGAAACAACGATTAGCTTTCAGAGTTTAGTTCTTCTAAGTTATTACCGTCTTCAGTGAAGGCACTTCAAAAAAATATGACAAAATTGCAAAGAAGCAGGAACTGCATTTAACATGATTAAATTTACTTCACCGTCATTAGACTATTATCCATTCTCTGAGAGAAAAATCTTGTGCTTTGCCTCCAACATACATTAGCAACCTGTTTTGAAGGATCTATCGTACATAGGCATACAGACTTTTTTTTTAATCACTTCATGTGATAAAGAATGTGTTATTACAAAGCTTTCCGTGTCCTGTACTCTTCCTGTCTCACTCAAATATTATTGGACTTGTGTACATAATCTCCTTAAGACATGTCTAATTTCTGTAAACAGCTGGAAAAAGGCTGAGGAAGCATTTTTGCACCATAAATCTATCTGAGACCAAAGATCTTGGCCTAAGGAACCTCCTGCGATTTGAAAGGATACTCTGCCAAAGCAAACACCTCCTCCCCT